TATATATATATATATAATTTTAGGTAATTTTCATATATATTTTTCTTTATATTCTTATCGTGGATAAAATAAAAGTCTGAAGAATACATTATGATTAAAAAACGAGATAAAGCAGAATCTGTTGTGTCGGGTGTAATTATCAACATCACTTATGTAATATATAATGTATTTGCATATATATACACACATATAATTTAATATAATATAATTTTTTAACGGTTTCATAAATTTAAGGCTTAATAAATAAATTATATTCGTTTTTATAGAACTCTCTTCTGTTGTCTTAGAATTCTTAGCATTATTTTTTAATAAATAAACGATTCTTTCTAAGGCTAGTAAAATCAATTAGAATTTAAAAGCTTTAAATAATTAGTCATAATTTTATGTATTAGATCTGTGCTCATTATTTGCTAAAGTTTGTATTTTACGATAGAAAAAAATGTTATAGTAGCATATAATTATATATATGGCTTAGATTTTCAGCTTTATATTATTAAACGGTTAGCAATCATTATTGATAATAGTGGGATTGACGCGTGGAAATTTCAGATACTGACCAATCAATCGATTTCGATTAAAATCCTAACCATAATAACGGCCGAAAATCCTAGCCATAATAACAATTATATAGATATCCTTTTCTTGTGTACACTATACCATTTATCAGATATATATTAAATAAGAAGAAATAAAAAAAAATTATTTTATTCCGCAATATTTTAACTATTTCTATGGATATCAAAAATCCATAAAATTTATCAACGTGTCATACATATATAACATTATATATATATATATCATATACACACCATGTTTTGTAGATTAAATTATAATTTCCCATATAATCTGTCGATGTTGGAATGGTCGAGTGTGCATATTCCACAGCTGAAGTCTAGCACGTGATTGGGGAAAAAAAGTAAAATTTGCTCTTGCGTCCAATGTATATATAGAAGAATATTAGGTAGCAGGATATCAATTGCTTTGCCACCCGTTTTGATCCTGTACATGATAATAGATCATCTTTTTTTTTTTAATATTATGTTTGAAGAGCCAAGATATATAATTCTATAATTTGTAAAGCTCATTATAAATATAAAGTCGCATCCACACATATCTAAGGTGGATTATATATAGATTTATTTACAAATTATAGATTTATGCTTGAATTCTTCATATTTATTAGAAATTATTTTCTCTACTTACATTTTAGTTCCTAAAGTATGAAATACATAATCAGATTGCAATTTTATTGATGATGTAGCATTATATAGGGTTCCCCTATCCATGTCGGCTACAATCCGTATAATTCCCGATTCGTCAGTCAAATTAACGTTGATCCCGTGCATACCATTGGCTGCGGTTAACGCGAGTCTAGGATTCTCATCGTAGCATTGCCCGAGTAATATCACTTCGCTATTTTCAGCGAAAGTGTAAACTGTATTGTACCCGGATTTTATGGAGTCTGATGTTACGATACATGTGCCTATAAAGTATAAAACATTAATTTAAACAATTTCTTCACATTTATATCATAAAATGTACATCATTGTCTGCATTAGAATTGTGCAAATTATTATAAAATTAGAATAATCAGTGGAATATATTGATGATTACTATGTGATTAATATAATTACTTACTAGAAAACATTCTGAATAAAAGCATTTCCATATATTTATGAATTCTTGTTCGGATCAGAAAAGAATCAATGTAGCGCGAATTGTATTCGATGGCAATTTTGTCTCCGTTGAGTTGCAGTTCGCCAACATATGATTCTTTCGGAAATATTGCAGTTATCGCAACCTCATCAGACTTTCTCGCATTACTGCTGTTTCCACCGATCAGATCATAGAAAGCGTACATTTTCCAGACTAATTTGGACAAACTCTCCGGTAACTGTTGTTTTCATAATATTACAAGTAATATTATTACGTTATTATAACTTGCGTGTAAAATTTCGCAGAGTTTTTACTTATATACTTACAATTAGTCTTCCTTACTTACGTTTTCATAATGCGCCGAGATCGTATATTTCCTTAAGGTTGACAATTCTCTTGATGCTTCGTAACAAGAATTCGTGTAAGGAACGAACTTTTTTCCAATAGATTCTTTCTTACATTCGCCATAAGGCCAGTTTGCCTCTTTGCTTTCCTCGAGCTGCTCGCTACTAATTTCGCCAATTAAGTTTATCGATATAGTAGATCCGCTGCATTTTCCTTTCACGGAATCGGATAATCCCCAGACGATATTTAATTTAATGCGAGACGAATCGCTCGGTTCATTACTCAAAAACTCCCATTGCCATGGCATGTGTCTCTCGATCTCAACGCAAAACTAAATCAATCAATCAATTTCAATTTTTCGGTTATACATGCTGTCAACTTTCTTGTCAGATGTAAAATCTTCAAATTTACCTTAAATATGCGTGCACCAGGTACGACCTTGGACGCTTTGATTTTAACAACATCTGACAGCCAGCTAGTGCTTTCGTATAACGCAGCCAAAAACCATTGATGAACAATTTGCGAAGATTGTAAGTTGTGGTGTGTCAAGGATAAAACATGGCGATTTCCACTTTGCAAGTATTCCAATTTCGTCTAATAAGAAATATATATATATGTATAATAAATAGATATATAATAAATATATTATATAATAATTAACCTGCGATGGTGCCGATTTAACTGCCTCGACATAAGCAGCTAATCCACAGCTGCCTCTTGGTGACATGTAAGTGAGGTAATCCAAGAAATGTAGTCCGATTAAAACAAATTTCATACTTGGCCAGGTTCTATATAATCACGAAAATCAATGCAATTGATTTAAGATTTATTTCGCAATGTATGATGCAACAGTAAATTAGAATATTTTATTATTATAATAAATATAAATCACATTTTATTATACTATATATATATTAATGTAATAAATATAGATAAAAATACATAAATGGTATATATTACTTACAGATAATTACTTTGATGAGAGAACCAAATTTCGTCAATCAATGTTTTGTACAGCATTGTGTTTTCGCAATCAAATATGTTCGCTTTTAGCCGACCACCTAATTCAGGAAGTTCAATGTTGAGAACATTCACTGTCTGTAGGAAAAAGGAAGAAGAATGTAAAAAGATTATATTCATTAATATTAATATAAATCGTTAAAATAATTTATACATTCGTAAATTTAAATAATAAAAAAAGTATACCACATTCAAAGTAATATTTACTTGCAGATTAGAACTAGACGATTTTAAAACTGTATATGATACAGGACAAAAATGACAAGCTCGCTCCAACTTCGATTTAACATTTGCACCTCTAATGCTTGTAAGCGTTTTAACATGTGCTGTAATTCCTGTCTTAAGATGTTCTGTAATACATTAATTTTGAGTATAAAGATTTTGAGTATAAAGAGTATAAAGATAAAGAATATAAACCAGAAGATATTTGTAAAATCTCAAGTACTTTTGAGAGAGAGTGAAGGTGGGGGGGGGGGGCAAGGAGAGAGAGAGAGGGAGGGAGAGAGATTTAAAACTATAAGGAATTTTACTGTTTAAGGAGAAAAGAATTAAGATTTATATAAATCAGTTTTTTTTTTGTGAATGTTGTTAAATGTAATGAAAATTACATAAATCACTAGTTTGTTAATAAAATAGGATTTATATACCTCCTAGAGCATTGTATGAAATAAATGGCCGTTCTTCTAATCCGATTGTAATGTTAATAGGAAGATATCCATGTAGCGACTGAACCCTTTCAGCACTATGCCATAAATCAACCAATGGATTGTAATTCTCTATCGTTTCAATGCCATGAACAGATGTGCTAAAAAATATATTTATAAATTCATAAAAAGAATATTTTAAAAACCAAAGGCGCTATTAAATATAAGTAATTATATAAAGCAAAATTTTGTAGAAAAATATATAAAATATATGTCCTTACCGTAAAATAACATGATTATTTCGTATAGGAAAGTCGCGTGTAAAATTTCCTCTCATTGAAAACAAAGACGTTGCCGTCATCGCGAGTCTAACGTTAGTACCGAGATCGGTTGCTTGGATCGATTCTATTATTAATGGCACATTTATACGTTGTTGATTAACATGAAATTCCATATTATAATACATATAATATAGATCATTCCATAAAGAAGACAAATCTAGAAAATTATAGATACATGAATGAGACGGTAACATTATATTATAACTATGCATATTATTATAAATTTTAATTCTTTTACACTTCAACCCCTCAACTATCTTTGTCTCATTCCAGTGGACGCACAGCACTGTTTTTTCTTGAATACGCGCAATTATTTCTAAATGCACAGAGTTTTTTTTTTGTTCATCCAATTTGAACTCTTTGAGAATATCTTTTATGTTTGTTGGATTGTCAAAGGAGGTTGCTAATGAGTGGAAAACACCCTCCGCCTTGATGTACAACTTAATGTTTTGTACAAAAAAAAATTAAATTCATCAATATTTGCATCTTACGGAAATATACGAGATAAACTTTCTTGGCTTTGAAAAGCGTACTTACAGATAAGTGGTTAATATGTGTTCCACTGCCATAATTATTTAGAGTTACGTAAATTACTTCAGGAATATTTGTAGAAGGATTGGCTATGATAATGCCTTGCAATATAGCACCAAATCTCCTCGACGAATCTTGATAATCAACCAGATAGTTACCGGTAATGAGATATTTGCTATTTGACGGTTTTCGAAGTACGCGGCTGAATTGCGCCGCGATTCTGCCTCTGTAAAAACCGGATAGTGATAATTAATGATTAAAACCAGATATAAAAATGTTTAAATAAATGCATAACATGTTAAATAAAAAATAGCAACAATGTCACACACTTGAACAATATAAATTATATTGTTTAAATAATACAAACATAATATAATATAATATAAATTAAGAGCATTTTTTGCATTTGATTTATATGCTTTATAATAATATAAAATTGCAAATTGATATAGAAATTAATATTTTTTCGAATAACATTGCTACTTGTTATTTTTCTTATGATTAATAAGTTTGTATATATTTACATGTGCTTGTAACAAGGATAAGTGGTACGTTCCATAGATTTTAACATTGTATAAAAGTAATTGTACAAGTGCTGATTGGGCTCACTTTGCATGTACCAGTACAGGGATATTAATCTATTAGGTGTAGGACTAGACACGACGAGCAAAGTTAACGCAGCGATTCTCATCTCTAAATGTTCGGTTCTGTTAACCAAAATTGGCCAATAAACAGGATAAATCTGCATAGGATATATTGTTATATATAATCAAACATTATGTCATGGTGACGAACAAAAACGTACTTGAATGATAAAACAGATTCATGCAACAGAGATTGCTTAATTACAAACCGCTCACCACGTCGGGTCTCAACGGTGCTGTAGGAATAGAGGCCCAAGCTGCAAGTGCCCGAAAATGCCGCGATTCAGCATTGTTGCCGCTAGCTATTGGCTCTAAGAACTCAACTACTCTACCAAGCTGTATGTTCGCCAAGCCTTCCAGCCAGACCATCTTCCGTTCGTATCGAGTGCTTTCTATAACACGGATTGAATATAATATAGTTTTGAACAATGTGGAAACTGTAACATAGATACGTTAATAGATACAAATACATAAGGTATATAAATCGTTATACAATCTGCTATCAAAAGAATATTTGGTCGTTTTAGCACACTCTATATATACCAGTGAATTTGTCGAGATAGAGACGCACGTAATCGTCCAACATCTCGTACGGGCAATGCACCAAACAGGTTTTATATATCAATGTTCCATATGTGAGAATCGCGGTGTTTTGCACTTCCGCGGAGATCTTGCTCGGCAGCGTAAGAAGCGATTGCAGACTGACCAATAACTGAGCGTCTGGTCTTCTCAAGTGAAGTGGTAGCCGCATGAGAAGTTGAATCGCGGATATATCGGATACCTTGTTACTCTGAATAAGATCCAGTATGAAAAGAGCGGATTCTTTACTCCCAACTTGCGGCAGTACCTCGAGAAACATATTCCTGCAATAAAGCATAATATAATAATTTATTCTAAAGATTAAGAAGGAAAAGAGAGAAATGGAATAATCAATAATGAATAATTAATAATCAATGTAAATACCGTATCGTTTCCTCTTTATAACTAGTTCCTGAGATACGATTATAGGCTTTTCCCAGATCAACGCGATCTAACATATCTAAATAATAGAGAAGCACAGATATCGTTGTGTTGTGCAGATTATGGATCTCGGTATCCAAACCAGGATTTTCGAGCCTGTGGCTCAAACGGTCCAATAATCGACTTATCTGTAATAAAATTAGTAAAGATTTCACAATAATTAAAAGGCAAAAAAAGAAAATAATATATATATATATAAACTTACAGATTTGAAAATAAAACTTTTGTCCAGAGTACCTCTGCCCTGTGTCAGATCTGCTTCAGGTAGCTCATGTTGAAGAATAGTAGTTCGTAAATTATTAGTAACTATTTTATTCGTTATATCTTTCACTGAAGCTAATTCAATAGTTTGCCTGTATAATATAAAACAATGTTATTTCATTGACATTATAGGTAAGCAAAAAAAAAAATAAATAAATAAATAAATAAATATCTAGCTATACGGTAAAGATGTTTCTTATACTTTTATTTATAATATAAGAAATATTCAATAAAACAACTATGTATACATTAGAAAGTTGTAAAACATACTGAACAAAATGGTAATGCGCCTCTCCCATGCTTTGAAAGGGTTGCACATAGATACTCCCGGATGCGTTAACTCTTTCGCTACTTTTCAGGACAGGATTCTGAAAGTTTTAGTGTTAGAGAACATATTATATAACATAGCATAACATGGTTCTATGTCAACCAAATAAATAAAGATATGTAATATCTCAACGCGATAACATACTTGATCCTCGTCGGTACACTGTACTTTAGGAACATTGGACCAATTACGGCAAGGATGCCCAGTACATATCCGAGGATCTAGCGATTTCCTTACCAAACGCTGAGTATCTCTCTCCACGTTTACAACATAATCAATATTACATTTTCCATAATGATTTATCTGTAAATTATGATTTTGTTGAGTATATATATATAATAATATTAAACTCTCGTGAGTGTGTGTTTAGAATAATGTTCACAGTCATTATACAATGTTTTGCATGCACGTTTATACAAATGCTCTTGACTTACCTCGCTAGAATGAAACGCGACTTCCTTCTCCAAATTAGAAAGATCCAACTGTAAAATTCCAGCTATGCTACGTTTTATATTCGTCGCCCATACTGGTTCTATTTCAACGCTAAAGTTCTCGATGAGCCCTTTATTGTATGATATTCGGAAAGGCCTCAAAAGTTCTATAGCGTTATCATAAATATCGATATTTTCGCTTGACTCCTTTACATTCCCATTCCACATTTTTGTCTTCAACGATTGCAGCTAATAAGAAAAAAACATTCAGGATATATTATATCAAATCACACACACACACACACAATATAATAAAATAATTTTAAAAAAGTGTACATATATTAGGTCAGTCAAAAAGTTAAGGGATTTTTTGTTTCTTTTTTATTCCTTAACTTTTTGACTGAACTAATATATATATTATATAGTTTTTGTAACGGAAAAATATAAATATAGACAAAATTGTATGTTTATGATTTTTTTTAAACACCTGTATTGTGACGTAGTCATCTTCCGCCTGAATCACGACCTTGCCATTGAGGCTCCACGAAGAAGCTGCGTTGGAGGGCACTAACACACCGGTACTTGACGTAGCGTTGTAAAAATATATGTATTCTTTGCCGGACCTAAATAAATTCTGCGCGACATTTCCATTGCTTAAAAGTAAGAATATGAATAGCGTTCTTCCTATTCCTTGTTCTAATCTGGATATATGATTAGAATCTGTAAAACAAGACTTTTTTTTCACATCTTCACTCTTGCACATACATTTCAAAAAATATCATTTTCTATTCTTTAATGAAGAACGCATGTTAGTACAAAAATTAATTCGCAATGAAATATAGAGAAGAATGCGTAAACTGGTATTTTTCTGTATTATATACATATATATATAATACATTATTAAAATTATAATGATAAATATATCTCGCTTGCAATAATATAAATTTCGATCATAAAAAAAAAAAAAAAAAAAAGCAATAAAATATAAAATAAATAAAAAATAATATAAGCGTATACCCATGAATTGCATGATGTAATTGATCTCGTAGTTGTTCAAAAGTGAGTTGAAAGAAAACTGAGTTCATGCAAGTCAAGGAATGACCCTTACCAGTTCTTATCATTGTGACCTACGAATACACACATGATTATTCGTATGTATATAAATATAAATTACTCTCAGCATATTATCTTCAATCATATGTGTATGTGTGGCTCGCACGAATGTTATATATCGCCGATCCTTTTTCTTTCCTTCTCTCACATAATACAAATAGCATACAAAATATATCTGTATCTTAATTTACGTATATTTTTTGTATAGATTAAAGCATATATGCAATAAATCAATTCTACAATTATGAATTATGTGTAAAGATTAGTAATTTATAATTTATATAAAGTTTATATAACTAATTCAAGTAACATAAGAGTTCAAAAAATATAGAGAGAAATTTTTCTGAGGAAATAGGCCAATATTTGATATAATTTCTTTTCTATTTTATTTTTCAATAGTTTTATTATTATTGATAAAAGATTTTTATTATCTATATTTTATGTTCAGAAAAATATAGTCAACTGAAAATATACGCGTCCAACTGATTAACTCGTTCAAATGATATATATATATATATATATATATATATATGTGTGTGTGTGTGTGTGTGTCGTCTCTATACACATAGATGTATACTATAAATTTGCTTAAATTATATCTTTCGAAATTAAATTTGCTTTATAACAAACTTTATACAATAATAATACACATGTTTTAACTAATTTTATTATAGAATATGTATATATATCTATATATATATATATATACACGCTTACACACATGTATGCAAAATTGTCATCTTTATAATAATATGTGCAAACATTCTTTTGCACATATTCTAGTTTATTCTAATGATGATAAAAATGCGAGATAATTTCTTAAAGGCAAGACTTGAATGCTTAAATATAGTATTTACAAATTTATTTGCCACTTGTCTCTTATATACATTTATATCTGGGAAATGTATCATGTCATTAAGTTATTTCTCATTTAGTTTATTACTATACAAAATTGTATCTCGTCGCGTATACACTATACATTTTAAAATTTACTTTAATGCATCATGTACAAGATCTTGCTGTATTATATGTATAAAACTATTAACA